CCACTGGTGGCAGTACTTTATCTTAATATCTTGCAGTGTCAGAGACTGGAGTTGTAAATACCACTGGTTATTAATATATTATGTCTTTGCCATCAGAAAACAGTCAAACAAACAACAAAGACCGGTCTCTGTAACCAAAATGATTAGCTCCCTTCCAGCTGCTGTCATATTAAATTCAGCATCTGTTTGGATCTCAAATCTCATTAAGTCTGTCACACTTTTCTCTTCCAAAGGTGTCGTTTGAATCTCTGTATGTAATACTTTGAAAATTTGGTCGCATGCTCCTTAAGGGTATACATTGTCAAGGTTAACATCACATTAATAAGCATGGAACACTCTTCCCCGCCTCCTTCCTGCCCCCCCTTTGCTCCCCAAAGAAAGTTCTTTTTAGTTTCAATGTTTGCCTTTTCCTTTTTCTGAACTAATATTGTGGTATCAGTTAATTCATTTCATGAAATGCCACTCATTTTCCCCATGCAGTGAACCATTTTGCTACTGGTTTTCTATATCCCACATCAGGGAATTCTATAAAAATTCAACACACAGAATTTGAAACTGTTATTACTGCTACAGATCACATGGGTTATCATAAAGGATCTTTTAGCACATTCAGTGTCATGCACATATACATTTATGACAACAGAAGGAAGGTTCTAGAAATTGGTCCATTTCTTGATTGACTATGGGCTACCCTTGCAGCTAGCCTAGTAAGCTGCCTTAAGGAAATGACTGCTGTCCAATAAGGGACAGAAGTTCTTACAATTCACCTAACTGTCATTCATTCTAGAAAAGTGACTATGTGTAAGGCTGGCATGGAAATAAGGCACCCCACATGCATTCCTGAATGCAATTCAATTTCAGTTGGCCTTTTTATTACAGTAAACAGGCATAGGGTTGACTCCTATGAAAATAGAAAGACATGGCCATTTAAATATATTAGAACTAGCTGAGCCATAGTGCTAATGGGCAGCAAGGGCCAGCATCTGTCCGCTATGTCATCATCTAAATAAGATGTTCAAAATTCACAGGCTTAAAAAAATGACTATTCTATTCAACTCCTTCCAGCAGCAAAATGGTTACATTCCCTCTAAAAAGACTACAAAATGCTATTTTATTTTTATTTTTTCAAAGAAAGACTCCTGGCCCTTGGTGTGTCCTACCTCAAGGTAGGGCTCAAGACACCAATTTTTTTCTTTCTATTGTTCAGCAGTTCAGTTTTTTTCTTTTTTCATGCAAGCAGCTACCTTAGTGAAAGTTGCTGGGTGACCTAAAAGGCACTGACCGCCTTCTTCAATTTTTCCTCCATCTTAAATAGAAAACAGATAGGTGGAGCATTTTTGTAATTAGTCCAACATTCCCTGGAGTAAAATGTTAAAATGAACTGAACATTTTTGTTTTTGTTTTTGTTTTTGTTTTTTGCTTTTTTGGTTTTTGTTTTTAGTCATAAATGATCTAGAAAATCTTCCTGATTTGTGTGGAGCCAGTTGAGGACACAATGGACCCTCCGGATGGCTCCCTTAAACTTTCAGGAAGACGGAGTGAAGCCAACTCTTTGTGTTGTACCCTTGTTGTAGCAGCACAAAGACCTTGTTCTAGCAGCACAAAGACTTGCTGCCCTGATTTTGAACTTAGCAACCAATTCTCCAAGGGGTCAATTTATCAGTCACTGGGAAAAAAGAGGACTTAACCCTTTTCCCACAAATCCCCATGAAGTAAATCCCCATACAAGAATATAAGGGACCTCTAATATTCTCACCTAGTAGCTTACAGACTAATTGTTAAGCAAGTTTGTCACAGGATTTGTCACAAGGGGAAAGGAGGCATTTTGAGGCAGAGAGGGGAAAGAGTGCTTCCGTTCCAAAATGAAAAGAATGTGACATTTGTAGGGATGATGCTGCAGCTCAACTCTGGAAAATGGTGTGTGTTTAGGCTGGCAGAGAGATACATTATGCTTGTGTTTGCTCTTTTGTTCCCCTGAACACATGATGTCTTATTTAGTGGTTGAACACTGTGTTAAACATTTGGGGATACTAAGAGGCATAAGGAATGAGAAGCAAAACTGTCAACAGAAACATAATCTATCATCTTGCTGGTCATTGTGAAACATCAGCCAGTTGCCAGAGCTGAGTGCTAACACTTACACAATGTTTAGTTATTTTACAACTTAGAACTGTCCTATACTGTTGTGATGTGTTATGATGCCCTACTGCCTTTGTTTTCCTCAAGAACTAATCGCCTTGTTCATTTTTCTTAGGACAAGACCAGTGCTCTAAGCCTGAGCAATGTGGCAGGCGTGTTCTATATACTTGTCGGAGGTCTGGGTCTGGCCATGATGGTGGCTTTCATAGAATTCTGTTACAAATCTCGGGCAGAGTCCAAACGCATGAAACTCACAAAGAACACCCAAAACTTTAAGCCTGCTCCTGCCACCAACACTCAGAATTACGCTACATACAGAGAAGGCTACAACGTGTATGGAACAGAAAGTGTTAAGATCTAGGGGTACGGTTAAGGTCTAGTAAACTAATCAGCCTTACGTTTCTGTGTGTTAACCTTTTGTTGTTGTTCCTTCGTGTGTTTTTTTTTTCCTTTGGTTTGATTTTAGCATTGTCTCTTTGCTACTATTTAATTATCTGTAAACAATGATTGTGTGCTCTTGTCAGTGAGCAGTGCTCTTCTAAAGGCAGAATTATAATTAAGTTATGGTCTGTGACACAAAAGGAGAAAAAAACAAAAATTCTTAGAGCAGTACTGTCCAATACAAATGTATGTGAGTAGCATTGTGAGCCACATGAATAACATTTAACTGTTCTGGTAGTTAAAGTTTTAAAAGTAAAATAAGTGAAGTTAATCCCAATGACTCATTTCACTGAGGCCAAGATATCAAAATACCATTTCAATGTTGTCAATTAAACAAGAATATTAAAAATGAATGAGACATTTTATGTTATTTTATTCATAGTACTCTTTTAAATTTGGGATGCTTTTGTACTTAGGACTTACCTCAAGTGATATTAGCAACATATCAAACATTCAATAGTTACATGTGCCCCAAGACTGCCACGTCAGACAGTACAGTTCTAGAGAAAGCAGATATTCTGGAACTACCATTTAAACTAGGAAATAGAAGCAAGACCCTGCCACCTCAGGTAGGGAAGTGCTTCCATGAAGGAGTTGTGGTTCTTTTAACTAAGCAGTGGAAGCATGAAACAAATTTCTTAATCTTTGAGTCCCTTTGTTATCCCTTCCTTGGAACTGATGGTGCTCAGGTGAGTAAGGGTCTAGGTTCCTTGCTGGTGACGGAACCAAAATTAATACTTAGGAAAACCTGACTCCCAATAACTCATCTAAGTTTTGAGGCAAGCATGTATTAGAATAATGCCTCCATTCTGCAAGTATATAAAAGAATAAAGTTTACCACCTTCCAAGTACATTTGCCTAACTGACTTGCCTATGGAAAGGGAAACAGAACAATTAGCAACTTCCTATACCTTATTTTAGATGGCTAACTTTGACATCATCAGTAAATGTCAATATGCTCTAATTTCTATTAAGACTTCTACATTTTGACCTTCTTATATGTATGCTTTCAAATATACATTTAGTCCATTTTTAAACATTTTATCCAAATAAATGATTTGCTATCACTATGGAAAGCATCATTTTATTTGAGGAAGTTGCTAGCTGTCCTATTGTCCTACATATTGCAGCCTTTGGCTACTACACACTCAGTACGATGAACTAACCTGTTAACAAATTGTTTCCACTGTATTTGTGAATGTTCAACCCATAAGTTCATCTGTCATTAGCACTATTGGCATGCAATCATTTAATGTTCTCGTGTGCTAGTGCTTTGAGTTGATGATACAATTCAGTTGGGGGTACACCATTTGCTTTTTTTCATAGGAAAGTACAGGAGCAATTTCAATATAGCACAATTACTGCAAATCCCAGGGAGTTGAAGTCCAATTATTTAATACATCTTAAGAATGTATAGCAGTTTTCCAAGTTCTGTCACCTCTATTCCCTCAGTTGTGATGAAACAAAGCAGGCAATATTTTCCCTTGGGTACCTAAAGCTCATTCACAGCAAGTGGCTTGTCCAAATACAACTTAGGTACTGGCAGCTTCATGCATAAAGTGCAGCCCTGCCTCCTCAATCTGTAGTCTGGGAGTCTTCAGGAAACTTGAAAACTTAGTGAGATTTTGTCAATTTGAAAAGAGATAGTAAGTTTATGTCACAGCTATCCATGAAGGCCATCAGATGGCTCAGCAGTTTAGAGCACTTGCTGTCCTTGCAAAGGACTAGCATTCAGGTCCCAGCACCCACTTGGCAGCCGACAACCATCTGCCACTCCGGTTTCAGGGGAGCCAATACCCTCTTCTGGCTTCCTTGGGGATCATGGCATGTCACAAATGTGATGCACTTATATTCGTGCAGACAAAACACTCATGTACAAAAACATGTAATTAATATATATTGTTAAAAAGCCATTTGGAAAACTTCATAGATCCTCTACACCCCATTTCGTGTGCACTCCATTCCATATAAGACTATTTTATATGCACACATATATATTTCCCTAGTTTCTTGAGAAAGAATCTTTTATAACAGATCAGGGATAGAAGAATTACAGCCCTACTGTCCAATTACTATATCTTCACAGTCTCTTATTAAATCCCCAGAAAAAAAGTGTTTTTAGATCATAAATTGCAGGGGGATCTTATGAGAATGTGGGTCCTAATACAGAATAAGGAAAAGAAGGAAAAGGGGGAAGCTGAAAGAGAATGGAGGGAAGGAATGGAAGAAGAAGAGAGAGAGAGAGAGAGAGAGAGAGAGAGAGAGAGAGAGATTATCAGTCCTTTGAACATACCTTCATACCCTTAAAATTGGAGGCCATAGAGTACCATACTAGTTGCAAAAGCCTCAAAACCTTGCTTGCCATAATTTGTAGCTTTCTGGCTTTCTTTTAGTCAGCTTGAGTGTGCTACAATTGTGGAGCAAAATTATGACTAATTGAGATAAGGTTTCATTTTAATAGACACCAGTACCTTCTTGGTTACAGCACAGTTACCCAGTTCCTTAGCAGTCATCTCTGGCATAATAAAGAAGGCTGAGAAGAACCTCTGGGGAAAAATAACCTTCCCAGCCCATTCTGCCCATGTTATTATGAGACTTAGCACCTCTCCTGTTCACCTTTGATTTCCAAACAAGTCCTACATCTCTCTAATACCTTCTGATCTCCGACCTAGTTTCTAGTTTTCTGAGTTGGCCTGGGTGGTCATGGTCTATTCAGGAGCATGCGGGTGAAAAGGTACCCCAAAGTTTTACTTGCCTTGTTAAATTATCAGGGCCTGACTTATGAGTTTATAAGACCATTAAGTGATCAGGAAGTGTGAATCAGTTTAAGCCACCCAGAAGAATAAGATCCAATAAAATATGTCTAATAAAAAGGCACCTTAGAAAGGATTTGGAGTCTCCACTCATTTTCTATGGGTAATGGTTATACCATGATTACTGGTCTCAGGAGAATATATGGCTCAGTGTCAGATTCTGTTGCTCATCCACTTGGGAGCAGAAGTTCTCTAGACAACCTGATACCTCTCTAAGTTACTGACCAGGCATTAAAAGTAAGCTCTACCTCCAAGCATTCCCTGACAAGTGACCCCAGCTCTCTGCTCTCTGGGATAACTATCTTAACTGCTTTTAGAAATCTCCCAGTTTCCTCAAGGCTGGGGAAATCTACACCTAACTTCTTTGGCTTTTTCAGTGATGTTTTTGGATCTCTCTCATTACTAAGACCTCAACAAGCCTGGAATTGGGGCAGTTCCATTTTTCTTCTAGGTCTACTCTGTTCTATCCAATGAAATATTACTATTTTCAAAGTGATCAGCTTTTCTTTGGCAGCCTACATGTAGATATTCTTTGAGTGGAAGAAAGGTTGAGACAGGGCCTTACTCTGTAACCCAGAATGACCTAAAACTCACAGCAACCCTCCTATCTCAGCCTCTGAGTACTGGGAATCATAGATGTGAGCCATCAGGTCCAGCTTGCATAGAATTCTTGCTGGAGATTTTTTTTTTACTGCTTAAGGGAGTTATTTTTTAAAGGGGAAGAAAAGAACTAATTTTATGTTGAGTAGAGACAAGTTTCTGGATAATTGAGGTGGTGATGTTCTTTTTTCTCAGAGAGCTTTTGTCTCAGTAGTGATGCTGTCCCATTCCCTCCCCCTGCTGTTTAAAAGCAGGAAACAGTCACTGAGAGGTCAAGTCACTTTCTTCCATTTGCCAGACCGGATAAGGATATACCATTAACAATAAGAAAGAGACAAAGAAATGAGTCCAGATAAGGGTATACCGTTGACTGTAAGAAAGAAAGAGATGACTCCAGATAAAGATATACCATTGACTATAGGAAAGAGAGAGATGACTCCAGATAAGGATATACCATTAACTATAGGAAAGAGAGAGATGACTCCAGTTAAGGATATACCATTGACTATAAGGAGAGAGATAAGTGACTCAGGACTTGGGGACACCAAAGAAGAGCTTTTCCTACCTCCATGTTAACCTTTGGCTATTTGCATACATCTTTTGCCTTCTCACACATGTGTTTATTCCAGGACCAGTGTTAGATAATGATGTTATTCATTCAACCTAAATTCAGGGTTCACTCAAGAAAAAAATGAGTATTCCATTAGCATACATGGAAAGGTGGTTGAGGAGGGTTGTGATCCTGAGTGTACAGAGTTGAAGGCAATGGATCCCCTACATCTAGTCAAGGCCATGAAAATGATGGCATTACCAGCATCCTCTCAACCAAGCAGCTAATTTCAAGGCAAAGTACCCAGAGATGCCAAGCTGCTACATGGTTATCACCGCTGTTGCCTGTTTTCTAGAATGTGCTATCCCTTTAAACTCCTTATGTTACTTTCAGACTTTAAACACTAAGGTTGAAGGTATTAAGAGAAATGAGCAGTCCCCAGTCAAGGAGCAAATACGAATTTTTCTTCTCATATTCAAAATGGATTCAAATTCAGTAAACTGTAACATTGTGCATTGTGTGCCCTCTGTTCTAGGCAAACAATCTTTTTTACATCTGCAATCAGGATACACTCTGCAATGCATTTGTCCTGACTGCCTTTATTTAAATGTCACTAAAACTTTCTAATATACCTACTCCCTGAGTGGTTAAAGTCTTGAGTTAGACTTCCTGCATGTTAGTAAATCCACGCATATGACAGAAAATCACCCCCATTAAATCTATTCCAAAGCATCTGCATCCAGTTGAAAATTTTAACCAGACCTGTTGCCTATATCCAATCAAACTGGGGGTGGAAGAGGGCTCCAGTAATGCTGATTTGAGAAAAAAGACACTTTTTTGTCCAAAGTCAAGTGACCATTAATACATGTCTTGGTTCCCAATAAAAAGTCCCTTCACATTGTAATGTCCCCTTGCCTTTGCAGATCCCTTCCCACTGGAAGCATGCAATGAGAGGAA